GGAAAAAAAAAAAAAAAAAAAATGTTGGGTGCCAGTAAAATTGCAATCCAAATTCACCAGTTACAATGGAGAGAAAGATGCACAGATAGTTTCCATGGACAGCGACGAAGTGACTGCGTTTCGTGGACATTCACGTCTGCCAACGGGGAAGGCGTATTGCCAATTCATTAGGTGTTTTTACATTAGCTTTGTGCCAACTGGGCCAAGGGTCGTCATGGAAGGGTCTAGAAGAAAGGAGAAAAGAAGGAGAAAGGAGAAAGAATAAAATTTTCTAATTTGTCTTATTATTTTTCCATTGATCTTGAAAGATGGATTAGAAATGGAATACAATATCCTCTTTATTTCCTCTTTGATACACTTGATCAAGGACAATGTGAATATATTAGAACATAGTATGATCTCGAGTTCTCAAAATAAATTCACTCATTTAGCTTTACTGTTTGATGATTTCACGTGGTCGATTTCAACAGTATTTTATTTTTAATGATTGACATTTGGACGAAAATGTGAATAGTTTTTAAATAATGGTAGATATCAAAAATGTACTGGAAAAATTGTATTGGATAGAGATATTGAATCAGAGAAAATTTTGGAAAATTTTATTAATATATTGAAATGTATTAATACATGTTTTATTAATGTTTTAATGAAATTTTATTACTATGATATCATAATAACAATATATTCAACAAAAAATATCTTCATGAAAAAACATTATTTATAATTTTATAATTTACTTTTACATATATAAATGTAAATGCACATTCTACTAATTCTAAAAACATCAATTTTATCTGCTCTTGAATCTTACAAATCATATATTAAGAAGAATGAAATCATAACGTTATAAAAATTACTTCTTTTTTGAACTTTTTTGTTTTCCTTCTCTTCCTTTAAAAATAGCTGGATCGATAATATTTGTAGGTCCATTGTTCCACATGGAAGTAGAAATAGTCTCCATCGGTTCAACGGTAGAAGGAAGTAAATGAGGTCCAATTAAAAAATAGACTTGTTGTATCCATGCTGGAAGAGACAAACCAGCCACGCAACATTGCCACAATGGCAAACCCAAATGAACAAGCATCATACGAAAATATATAGTGAAATTTTCTGCTAAACGATACCATTTATTAGTATTCTCTCGATGTAACCAGATTGTTGGTGACTCCACTTCCGGTTTTATTCGATATACCAAATAGATCTTAGCAATTTCACTTTCTGGAAAGCATCTTGCTATTTCAAATATTTTGCAATCATTTTCCTGCAAATGAAGTGAAATTGCATTCTCAAGATCGGTAGAACTACCGCAAATGGTTTCATTGTCTGATTTATGGATGTCATTGTAAGATTCTTTCTTAGTAGCATCTGTTTGATAATTTTTAGAATTGTTTGTATAGCGTTTTAAAGAGGAAAAGGTGCCAATTTCCATATATCCTATGGGAAATTCTTCACCTGTATAAAATACATAAATTTTTTATGAAGATATTATTAATTTTCAAAATTGATAATGATATTAAATTATTTTAGTATAAAATATGTAATTTAATTATAATTTTCATTCATTTCAAAACAGAAATTAAAATTATGATGCTATTGAAGGAAATAGAGATAATGAAATAATTATTAACAACACATAGGATCTCAAGTAATGATCATGAAAACTGACAAAGAGGAAATGCGATAAGTTTAGAATAGAAGTTTAGAATTTTACCTGCTATCTCGAGATTCCACTGAAGCAGGAAGCCGTCGATGGAGGCGTAAAAGTTCTTAACATCTTCCGGGAGTGTACAACAATGGCGTTGTTCCCAGCTATTAATGACTGTAGTTTCACATCCGTTTCTACGATCGACTCGTACATTTTTTACGTATGGAAAACTTTCGAGAATCTTAACTACACCTAATGTAAGATTCTCGTAAAAAGAATCTTCCGTTACGATATCGACGAAGAAAGACATCGAGTTATATGTATTTTTTTTTTTAATATTCGTTCATCAATTTTTCCATAAAGAACGATTTCGAAAGATATTCCGAATCTTTATTAATTAAATATTGTATCGATCTTAATATTTAATAATTAAAAATTATTCTTTCGAATGATAAATATTTTTTATTTTTAAAAAATTCAGAAGAAAATATCTGAAATTATATAATAAAAATTTTTTATTATTCGTCGAGAAGAACGAATCGTTAAATTGCACTAAAATTAAATTATTTTATCAGTAAAAGGAAAACTTCGAAATTTTCAATCCAAAATAATTTCTTGAAAAACTATGTTTCATTATTGTTAGAAGAATTTTTCTCTTCTAATCAATATAATTTCAATTTTTAAAATTCTTCAAAACCAATTATTTTCTGATATTATCTTTTTTTCCAATCTATTTTATCTTATTACAATATACACCATTATTTATTTTTTTTCTTTTTTAACTAATTTTTTTTATGTATAAATTCTTCTATGAATAAAAAATTTCGATTTACAACAAGGAAATTTTAAATCGCTTATGAACGATTATAAAACCAAGAATAATCGTGCTAATGAATCGGACTGGTTTGATCCGTTGTTGATCGTCATGGTGACGGAATACGAAAGCGAACTACTAGTATATCCACTTTTCTCATATTCAAACGAACCAACAAGGGTTGTATCGAACGCTTGCGCAGGTTTACATTGCACGACAACTGTGGGAGAGGATGCAGGTGGAATAATTATTATGCACGCACGAGGGAGGTTCTTTTTAGAAACTATGCACCTCTTTTTCTTTTATATTTAATCATCATGAATAATTTTTAATATATCTATTATTTAACTATATACATATAAAAAAGAACAGTTGCTGGTGACGATTGAGAGTCGAGTTAAAAACTTCGATTCTAGAATTAAAAATATCTATTTATTTATTCTATATTTTGTTATATATATATTTTTTTTATATTTAATTTTTAAAAAATTTTTTTTTACTTTGAACAATTTATTATTCATTATATTATAAGTTATAAATTATTTTTCAAATATTTTCATTAAAAATGAAAGTAATAATATTTTTGAAATAAATATAAATTTATTTAAATATTTTATTTACTTGAAATCTATTAATTAAAATTTGTATTATAATAACTAAATCATGTGATTTTATAATTAAATTAAACATAATTAAACTAAATTAAACATAGAAGAATTAAAATATTAAGGATAAATATAAAAATAATTTTAAAAAATGTTAAAATTTTAATTTTGATTTATAATATTTTTTCCTTTATGTTCTTTTTTATGTTATTTTGTTTTATTGTTCACAGGAGATTTTCCTCCCTCTTTGCACTCTAGGTGTATTAATCGTTGTAAAAGTATTACCACCGAATCCAAACTATCCCGCAATGACAACACAAAGACAAGAAGGTGGTATATTCGAGACATTCAATGGCTACAAGAACAATACGATAGCTGTTGTTCCAAATTCAACAGAAACTTTGGTACATGTTGCTGTTATTATTATAACAATTTTATCTGTATTCTCAATGCTCAATTTCTATAATATTTCCATTTTAGGCCTTTTTAAATTCAATGAATGCTCTATGGTTATCAATGTGGGATTATCCTGGCAAGCTTCCTTTAAATTTCATGGTATTTGATACGAAGGATGATTTGCAAGCAGCATATTGGAGAGATCCATACAGCGTTCCCCTAGCAGTAATCTTCGAAGATTCTCAACCTATATCTCAACATCTCTTGTAATATTTAATAATATTTAATTGAAATAATCAATTGCAATAGCTAAAATTAAAAAATTTAAATGCAATTATCTAATTTACATTAGATATGAGATAAGAACAAATCCATCATATACGAATCCACCTTCGCCGACTGAATTGTATTCTGCCCCAGTTACTTGTCGGAAAGATACGAGCCACTGGTTAGGTGGTGTATTGTCAATAGAGACTGGTGGATCATGTCCTGCGAATAATTATTTGCACTCAGGTTTCTTGGCGTTACAAATGATAATGGACATTACAAAGATAAGAGTATGTTTCTTGATATTTTAGATTAACTCGTAATCGAAAAATATTTTATATTGATTTAACTCTCTATATTAACAATTTTCAGTTAGATACGAGGAATACAGATATAACAGTACCGGATATTAAATTAGAAATGTTTCCTAAAGAAGCTTTCACCGCAGGTAAAGATGTTAAATTACGAATCTTTTAAAATAATTTTTTCATCTTTCTACATATTGATTAAAAATTAATGGATTTTTTAAATTATATAATTATAATAATTATATAAATTAAAATTTATAAAAATAAATTAAGTTTATATTTAAACTTTTTTCTTTTTTTATTTTTTTATTTTTTTTGATGTTGTTTTTTTTTCATGTTTCTAAGAATATTTTTTATTTAGACTGGATGTTGGCCTTTAGAGTTGTTATACCACTTTTTATGGTCTTGGCCATTTCACAATTTGTTACTTATCTTCTGATCCTGATAGTCGGTGAAAAAGAAAAAAAGATCAAGGAAGGAATGAAGATAATGGGCCTAAAAGATTCGATTTTCTGGTAAGTAAATGAATATTATTTATAAAATTTTTTACATTAAAATATTAATATATAAAATATTAATAATATAATAGTATAATAATAACAATATAATAATATAAAATATTAATATTATATAATATAATATTAATAATATTAATATTAATAATATATAAAATATTAATAATATTAAATTAAAAAATTTTATTAAATTTATTAAATTAAATTAAAAAATTTTTAAAAACTAATTAACGTTTTTATTTCAGGTTATCATGGTTCATTATCTATAGTGTTTTTGTCTTATTACTTTCTGCCGTCGGAGTAATATTACTTTTTACACTACAAATGTTTCAGCACACACATTTTTTACCAATATTTCTTTTAGTAGTACTGTACAGTTTCTCTATAATCATGCTCGCTTTTATGATAACACCCTTCTTCGATAAATCACGAGTAAGTATTTTATTAATATTATTGTATTATTATATTATATTATTATATTATTATCGTTTTATTACTTTATTAAATTAATCTTAACTATTTTTATCAGACTGCCGGTGTACTTGGCAATTTTGCAGTCACAATAATGAGCTTGATGTACTTTATTCAAGTCTTTGTGAACGATTCTAGTTCTGTACCATTTTGGTTGGTTTCTCTTCTTAGTCCAACAGGAGTTGCTTTAGCTATGGATAAGGTTTGTATTGGAAGAAAAATAATGTATACGAAGAAAGAGAAATTCTATATAAAAATGTTTGTATTTTTTTACAGGCGCTTGTACTAGATTTGCAAGGAGAAGGAGTTAATTTTGACAATCTTTGGTCAGGTCCTGGTATACCATTTGGAGGAAGTCTCATTATGATGACATTAGACATAATTCTCTATGCTTGCTTAGCTTACTATTTTGATTGTGTCATACCAAGTATGTTATATTTTTAAAAATATACTTTGTTATTATGTCCATTAAATTATTAATATTAAATTAAAAATATTAAATATATAATTTAGGTGAATACGGAACGAAAAGAACTCCTTGGTTTTGCTTCACGCCTGAATTTTGGTGTCAAAGAAAAGCTCCACGGGTGAATTTTATTAAGAATAATAAAGAAACGAATATAAAAATAAAAAAAAATATATATTTAAAATTGTATTTATAGGTACCATCATCAAATGGTGAATCGAACTCTTTTATTCCTGGTGAAGAAACTAATCGCGATGTTGAACCAGTAGTACGTGAAATGAAAGGTCGTGAAGCAATTAGAATAGTTGATCTTTACAAATCCTATCAAAAGTGTCGTAAACCAGAAATTAAAGCTGTAAATGGTATTAATTTAACGATTTACGAAGGCCAAATCACAGCGATACTTGGACACAATGGAGCTGGCAAAACTAGTCTTTTTAATATACTAACTGGTTTGACTGCACCTACCGCTGGCACTGCCTTGATTTTTGGTTACGATGTTCGGGATTCTAATGATATGCAGATGATCAGAAGTATGACGGGCGTTTGTCCACAACATGACATTCTTTTTGATCTTCTTACACCTCGCGAACATCTTGAATTTTTTGCCGCTGTACGTGGTATTCCACGATCAATGATTGAACACGAGGTAACATGAACAAATTATATAAAAATTTTTTTTATAAATTATGAATAACAAATTGTTATATTTAATTATTTTTAGGTGAATAAAACTTTAAAAGATATCGATTTAACTGAGAAGGCAGATACTTTTGCAAAATATTTAAGCGGGGGACTGAAAAGGAAATTATCCGTAGGTATCGCCATTATCGGTGATCCGAAAATTATTATTCTGGATGAACCTACAGCTGGAGTTGATCCCTACTCCAGAAGACAGATGTGGTCTTTCTTACAATCTAGACGTCACGGAAAAGTGATTTTACTGACGACTCATTTTATGGATGAAGCGGATATACTAGCAGATAGGAAAGCAGTTATTAGTAAAGGAAAACTAAGATGCTGCGGTAGTTCTTTATTCTTAAAAAATAAATTTGGCATTGGATATCATTTAACGTATGTCCAACATTTATTAAAAAATAAAAAATGATATGATATAGTATAATTAATAAAAATATATTTGTTGATTTCTTATAGGTTAGTACTTGAAGGAAATGCAAGAGAACACGCTATTACTAGATTGGTAATGTCTCATGTTTCAAAAGCAGAAAAAGCGAGACGTCATGGCCGTGAACTGAGTTTTATTTTACCTCATAATTCAGTAGAAAGTTTTGCATCACTTTTTTCAGCTATAGAACATGAGATTAAAATTCGGTCAAGTAGATTAGGTATTAGTAGCTATGGAGTATCGATGACTACTCTAGAAGAAGTATTCTTACATTTAGAAAAAGATGAAGGTCCTGAATATACAATGGATAATTTATCAAAAAAAATGGTGCGCAATCGTGCATTAAGTAGATCCTTATCATTACAATCGAAAAGCACTTC